TCATACTCACTACCTCAACATTCATTATTTTACAACACGACACTCCTCACAGCTAGTTTTTGACTGAGGGAGGAAAACCAGCGGACCTGGAGAAAAACCCTCGGAGCAAGGAAGAGAACCAGCCTACAAACTCAAATCACATATAGTCCCGGACCGGGAATCAAACCAGGACCACAGCGGTGATAGACCGGCGTTTTAACCGCTCGGCCATCCTTGCTCCCCCTAATTATTTATTATTCAGCAACCTCAAGAACTTCAGTTAGGGGAGAAGCTAAAGGGGAGGGAGGGAGAGAAATTCTGACCCTGTAAAGGAAAGAGGTTATAAGTATCCTTACTTTGACAATGTTTATGTCTTCGTCAAGACCCGCCTTTTCGAATTCATCATGAAAATTAAACACATCCAACCACACATTCACTGCTACGTTTGGAGAGTTACGTGAGCGAACGATGTGCCACCAGTACTGCGGTACGTAAAGCATGTCACCTGCGAAAAACATACGTAAGTGAAAAACAAGTTAACTAAGTCCCACCGGCCGCGTAAAACGTAATATACGTTACGTACCTGGATGTAACGTCACCTCATAGTATGGCACGTTTGCAAGTTTGGGGAATTTTGCGAAATCGATTGCGTCGCCGTCAAATTTTGAAATTCCCGGAAATAGGAAATGTTCATCTGCGTAAAGGTCTTGCGAATACGCAGGGTCGATCAATAGAAACGTCTTGGTGCCTGAAAATAAGCAAAATATAGTGATTTATTGGTTTAGTGTGGTTCCGTCGTGTGCTGTAAATTTTTACGTTAGCACTATTTCGTAGTTAATAACGCCAAAAGCCGGTTCACATAGGCGATTTTTGCTGCGATTGTTCAGGATATGATAGATTTTGTTTTGTCCTTGTGAAGAGACATTTAGTTTGCTCATCTTAGTGAACTGAATAAAACTTTACAAGTTAATTCTTCATCATTATAAACAAGAATCAAAATAACCGCAAAATCGCCAGTGATAACGGGCCTTAAGAGTTGAACACCTTCAGTTGTGTAAAAAGATAAATTTAACACCGTATAAAGGTAGGCGAAATAACTTACTGACGTTTCAGACGTTACTCCTTCTTCGAAGTCTCTTTACTCCGACGAATGATTAACGTCAGAAAGTTGTTTCACCTACTTTTTACGGTGTTAAATTTATCTTTTTACACAACTGTTTCTTTAGAAACACCGACGCAGCTCACACGAGTTTACCGCTAGTTCCCACCATTTTAAACACCTTTAGTGTTTGTGGTCGTAGTTTAAGTTTTGACGGACAATAAAAAAATCACTAGTCATAAAGTTTTGACGGACAATAAAAAAATCACTAGTCATTAAGTTTTGACGGACAATAAAA